GCCCATGAATGGAAGTTAGGCTAGCGAGCAAGCATTTTAGCCAGGTAGCCTAGGACAACAAAAAATAAAAGCGTGTACTGTATGACAGAGTGATAGACCGTTTCGTCAACATGAAAGAGAGGAGGATGGCATTGGCGTTTCTCTGCAAGTAGGGTTAGTCAACATGTTTTTCTACTTGCATGAACACACACACACACACACACACACATGCACACAGAAATCAGAACCATGGACAGCCACATCATATTTAGCTTACGTTGATTTGACTAAATTGTTTTGGGTATCTTTTAGTTGTCACTGTATTAGACTAAGCAGGGGTATTTTGATGATGTTGAAATGTTGAAGTTGAAATGGTGCCGGAATAGTGGAGGCAGCTCCTGTTTTCTTTGTGACTTGCGGTAACTCTCTGTGGTTCTAAATCAATAGTTGTTTAGTGGTCTGAAAATGTCTGAAAAAATGCTTGACCATGCTGTAGGTCATGTAACTGTCTGTTACTGTACATGCAATATGCTTTGTGGACATCACTGGACAGAGGTTGCTATCCAGTTTTGTGATAAAACAAAGGTGTGGTTGAATTTATTATTCTTATTGTCTCGGCCTTTAGGCCTATATATCACTGTTGCAAGGCATATGAATTAACAGGTTATAAAGCAAATAACGCAATTATCACAACACATAGGTTGTAATATGTTTTTGGGGGGGCTTCCCCAGTGATTTTACCCACGCACCGCTACTGGTTAAAACACTCGTAAGCCTAAATTCTGTCACTATAAGGAAACTGGGCCCAGCCTTCTCCACTCAAATCTTACCTTAACATTATAATTATTCCACAACACCGTCAACGGATCAGCTCCTAGCGAGATATTACAACCTAATATATGGATCCGGCTTATTATGCTTACCCAATAATAATACACTAGGCTAAATCACAGATTGGGGACGTCATTGCACACATCTTGTCACACATCATTCAAGCTATTACACACAGTACCCTCGTGGAAAAATACAAGGCAATATGATTTCAATATGATTTAAATATAGGCCTATAGGCCCATGTATTTATATTTTAATGCAGTCATCTAATTTTTCATTTGAAGCATCGTTTTATCTTTCACTTGTTTGTAACAATTGCAAATACTTTGGCAACTTTGTATTTGTAGTCAACTTTGTTCTGAAGTTATTCGCGGTCACAGTCAGACAGATAGCCTACCTAGCCTAAACATATTGATTCTATGTTTAGCGTTGATTATGTGTGAATAAAGTTACGCGGAAGGGCAAAAAACATATAATGATGCACTTTGCCAGCTCTACGAGTGGTCAGGTTCGCTCGTAGATGTGCGAAGGTTTTTAAGAGCAACGTTACTAACGAAGGCTCGGAGAAACAGATCGGTTACTAAAGATACATCGTAAGATGGTTCTAACGATGGTCTTAACGCTACAAAGGCTCTGTGAAACGAGGCCCAGATTTCTTGAATGTGCACCAATCCGCCGTCGCTTTTCTATCCCACCGTCTGCATTCCATTGATCGCTTTACCGCATCTATATAATTACAATAACATCTCTAAACTATGCTGGTATTATTTTGTCCATTATTTAATTGTTTAATATATTGTAGGTTATTCTTAGCTAGAAATATTACTGTTTATTAGAAGCCATAATTAATTAATTGCACCATACAGGGCTCTATATGGAACCAATATTGGTTCAGTGAAGATCGGCCACTGATCAAAGAACCCTATACAAGGGTCCTATATATAACTTTTAAGGGTTCCATATCTGAAGCAAGTGATAGAACCCTTTTTCATTCTATATGGAACCTTTTTTTCTAAGAGTGTAAGGAAAGGTCTGAAACAGGAATCATGCAACACACATCGAAGCTGCACTTCAAAAGGGAAGAAGGTTATAGTTCCTTCATATATCCTGTGCTTCTGAAGGCAACAACAGTGGCACAAACAGAATATACGTGTCTATGAATATTCAAAACGAGTTGAAGTCCTAACCGGTCGACTCAGTCAGTGTCGAATGTGAACTTTTCGCTGTGAGTCTCTAGTTTGGGGCACAGTGGTTGCATTCTGTTGAAGCTAATGAATATGAGACGGCTAAACCTTCGACCACACAGACACCTCTCTTAAGGGTGGCAGCCTGCAATGGTATAAAGTTATCACTAGATGGCTCTATCAGTTTACATTGAAAAGGGATTCATAAATTGTGGAGACTAGACTGAATATCCACCCCAGTCAAAAGCCAGTTCTAGCGTGCAGACACACCTGGCCTTAAACGACTTTCTAACGACTTCGAATTGTGCTCTACAACCTGTTGTTTTGTCTTCGACTTCTACTCAAACAGGTGTCTCACTGTAAAACTTGAGAGAAGTGAGACAGCAGAATTTGTACACCTTTAGCACACCAACTTCAAGTACATCGTCAATGAGTCACAAGTGCAACAATTATACTTGATGAAGAGCTTTGGGAATAGAAGTCCTTAATTTAAATTCATTAAATTGGTCTAAAATAAAATCGATAATACTTCATTATTCCAATGATAGCACCTGAGTATCATGGTGGCTAATGCATCTGGGCCTACAATAAATCTGACACAGAGTATATATTTAGATATAAATATGGCTCTGGTCTGACAAATTCAAACACTACAGATTGTATAAGCACATCATAATACGATTCAACCAATAATTATACTATTTGTTTCATTGTAGGCTATTTAATAAATAAAGAATTGTTATATTTGAGTATTGTTACAAGATTCTATACGGCTTTTACTAACAAATGACAGCTAGCCTATATCAGGTGACATAATAGTCTATTCATGGATCATTGAATTCGGCCATTGTTCATTGTTTAGCCCACAAAACAGAATTCTAATTCCAACGGTTGAGCTAATCCGCGTTATTTTTCTCAAAACATCCACAATGTTTGTGTTTTTTAAGGAATGCAGTAATTCCCATTCCACTTCTACAAATATTTAGGAAGCCCATAAGACATAATTTTCAAAATGTCACAGTACAGAGCGACTAGAGGTCTTTTAACCCGTCATATTGACTCCAATAGGCTAGCCCAGATGATTTTAGCGATGATGAGAGATGGATAACAGACAGTACATAGCCTTGTTCATCACGGGAAGGACATCCGACTCAAGCGTTGTAACAATCCAGGGAAACTCTGGGGGGCGCCAAATGACACGTAGACGATGTTTCCAGGCCCCTCTGGTACATTACCTTACCGAATACAAGATCCATTCCCGATAACCTTAGCTATAAGAGCCATTCTGCCTCTAAATCTGAGACTGTTCAGGAGATAGACAGAGCATCACCTCGATGTATTCTCAATATTACATCGAGTTTCTCAAATAATAGACTATAGCTTACTAAGAGATCTACAGGCAGCACATCGGGAGACTAATCATCACAATATTAGGCTAATACCACAATCTTTGATAACAGCAAAAACAATGTAATTGGAGCCTGTCCAACATATACCTTTGACTATAGGATAGTTCTAAAATATAGAATAATATAAAATAATCCTGATTAAAATACAACTCCAAACCTGCGGTAAAATAGGTAATATTTCACCAGGAGGGTTTTAAATGAGCACAATTACACATCATTATTCCACGCTTGAAAATAAAAAATTACTAAGAAAAAAATAAGTATTCGTCAGGCATAATTTCTTATCCTTCTAAGTCTAACTCGGTAGGCCTACTGAAGTAATGGAGATAATATAGGCTGCCTTAAAAGGTAAATTCGCAGTTGAAACAATAACAAAGCGACTCCCTGCCACGGTTTGGGTAAAAAGCAGAAGGATGGGGCTGGAGAAATGTAACCACTCTCAAATTCAGACAGAGCTATGGGTGCAAGGACTTACCATCCATGATATAAAAATTGTAGTTTTAACCATGTTTTTTAGGCTATACAGTGTTTGTTTAAATGTAATTTGTTTACAAACATTGGAGTAAAACAAGCATATTTTGTGTTCTGATGGGGTACGACAGTTGAACTAAGCTCATGAGGCATTTAGTTATAGTCTTCAAGAATGAATATAATTTATTTCTAAGTCCAAAAATGGATGTAGCAACTGCAGATTGCCCCTTTAAAGAAAATGCTAACATCACTAGCATATGGCACATGTTATAACTTCCTATTGTATCGGCATTGTTTAAAATATAGTGTAATGATGATCTCAAAATGTGTTTTTATTACAGTGAAGAGTGTAAAACAAACATGACAAAAATGCTTAGGACAAATTCACATGATAATAAAAGTGAAATTCGAATCACACTTATCACTATATTATCTCGCATTTAAATGCTGTTAAATGGATTTCACAAAATAACTTTCAGTAATAATGAATCATTCGAGAATGCCTCAGTAAAATTATCGATGGAGAAAGTGAGAATAAAAGAGAAAGACAAACAGACTGAGGGACAAAGAGAACAGAAGGGAGAAACAATAGAGAATCAAAGCATAATGATATTCCTAAATGAAGAGGGAAATGTTGCCGCGCTCATTTTATTAATCAGACTGTCAATTTCACCCCAGAGGCCAAACCCAAGAGCAATCTTAAGCAGACGCAGATCAACCCAGGGACACGCGCTCCACTCCTCACTTCTCCTCTTCCTCTCCACTTGGATATATATTCGTCTGACCGCAGGCCGCCTCCATCATCAACTGACAGCCCTCTCGTATTTATTTGCTTATAAACCTGTTACAATAAATGATCATTCGAGCAGCGTCACGCGCACCTTAACGACGAGCAGCAACCACTTTTTGATGAATTACATTTTGGGCTAGAAAGGATGCACGGGTCATTTTGAACAGTCATTCGTTGCTCGCATTGGCATTCCTCAATTTTTTTTTGCGTCTCGCTCATAAAAAGGTGTTATATTATTTAGAGACAGTTGCTGAGCTGAATGCGGATTAGCTCCGCCACAACTCATCGGAGCACCAGCCCTGGAAATTGTGTTTCTTTCTACAAGGCTTAATGATGGAGAGGATAAGAAAAGAGATGATTCTGATGGAGAGAGGTCTGCACAGTCCCGTGTCTGGGAAAAGGCTCTCGAACCTGTCAGACTCCGCTGGAAATTCAGTGTTGGAGGCCCTCGAAAATTCTCAGCACAGTGGCCGACTAAGCCCGAGAATAACTTCCGCCTCGCTTCATGGAAGTCTCGGGGATATTCCAACCAAAGGCAAGTTCGAAATCGACAGTCTGTTCGGTACCCACCACAACAGCGAGAATACTTCCTCGGCGGAGATTTCATCCTCAGAAAGCAGAAAGAAAATTCACTTATACCCAGAAGTTTCTCAAGACTCAGATATGAACAGTGACGTGGAGGTGGGATGCCCATCGCATCGCTCCCCGAGCCAACACAAGGAAAACAACAACAACAAAGGTAACGTTCACTCTGAATTAAGATTTACTGACGAAATAAAACATTTCAGAGAAATGTATATTCTATGATATCTTAAAACCGAAAAGGGATTAGAATAAACAGATAATCGTAATAATAATAATAATAGCAACAGCAATAATAATGTAGGCTTATACAACAGCTAATAATAGCTAATAATTGTATCTTTCATTTTCAAATATTTCACGCTATTGCTACAAATAAAATTGCTTGTTAATTTGTCATTTATCTTATAGGCATCATCTCATGTGATAACATATTACATCAATAAATGTATAATAGCCAACATACATAATACAACTGCTTATATAACCTACATGAAAATATCAAATCATCTTTGCATATTTCTTTCCTAAAGGGTTTTCTGACAATAATTCTGGAGGCTCCAACACAAGTTCATCCTCCCTTTCCAATCATAACGGCAATGGAATGAGCTCGAACATGTCAAATGCCGAGACTAGAAGATACCGGACTGCATTCACCAGAGAACAAATAGGAAGACTGGAGAAAGAGTTTTACAGGGAAAATTATGTCTCAAGACCCAGAAGATGTGAACTGGCCGCATCATTGAATCTACCTGAAACTACAATAAAGGTATGTTCTCTTATATGCTTATATTAATGTACATATTTGTGCGTAATATATACATTAAAATAATAATTTATCACAAATAGTTAGGACTATAGACTAGGCTACAATTATACTCAGATGTACACTATATTCAGATACACACGCTGATCAACATGCATGTATCGAAACACACACACACATACACACATACACACACACACACACACACACACACACACACAATAAATGTATAAACTAATCTGTTTGGTAATTCACAATGTGACCAGGTGGCCTACTCGAATATAGTCTGAAATGAATCTATGAATCTGAAAAATCACTGTCAGAGGCACTTCTTTGGAATTAATTTCTTCAACTTGCTGATTTGTTTAGAGGTCCCTAAAAATAACCATTCACAAAAAAGTGTACATTGGCCTATACGTTTAAAACTCGTAATTCTATCAAACGCACATTAGCTATGTTTACACAGTCTCTTTGTTATACTACACGCGAATATTCTGAACACTGGGAGAATGCATGGGGAGTCGACCCGGTATTTTGTAATGCGTAAATATTATGTTACCAGGCGGGTTGGATAGAATAGGGTCCTATTAAACATGAATGATAATTCTCTGTCTGTAGGTATGGTTCCAGAACAGGCGGATGAAGGATAAGAGGCAACGTTTGGCGATGTCTTGGCCCCATCCAGCAGATCCAAGCTTTTACACCTACATGATGACGCACGCGGCAGCCACCGGAAGTCTACCATACCCTTTCCATTCCCACATGCCTCTGCACTATTACCCGCACGTTGGTGTCACAGCAGCTGCCGCTGCTGCAGCTGCGTCTGGTGCTGCATCGTCACCTTTCGCTACCTCCATTCGCCCTCTCGATACTTTCCGTGCACTCTCCCATCCTTACTCACGACCAGAGCTTCTCTGTGGCTTCAGGCACCCAGGACTTTATCAGTCACCCGCAGGCCTCAATAGCTCTGCGGCAGCATCAGCAGCAGCGGCAGCAGCAGCATGTGCAGCCGCGGTCAGCGCGCCATCAGCCACTGGCCCATGCTCGTGCCTCAGTTGTCACAGCAGCCAAGCGGCCAGCGCGCTAGGCTCCAGAAGTACCAACTCTGACTTCACCTGCACAGCATCTGGGCAAAGATCCGAGAGTGGATTTTTGCCGTATTCTGCAGCTGTCCTGAGCAAAACCTCGGTTCCATCACCAGATCAGAGAGAGGAATCTTCACTAAACAGATAA